CACCACCACCACCACCACCCTTTTTTGGGTTCACCTGGCTTGCCATCGTCATCCGGCAGTATGTGAACCAAAGAAGTGACAAAGAGACCAGAACGAGAAGGCACGTCGAGAAACGCAATTCTGACCAGTGAAGTCAGTGTATTCATGCACACTGCTCAGATTTGCTCAGCAGACTGTTCAGCATGACGATTGGCATCGCATCACTGAGGTCGTGACTCAGAGAGTTTACGAGTACATATACCCTTTGCTGGGAGACATGTGCGGTGGCGAGCAGCACCGGGAGAGGGTCTCTCCTGTTTGCAACGACATGACTGGCCTTTGCCCACTGTACGTTTCGGTCTCAGAGCACGAGGTGTGTTTGGATGAGAACAATGAGCTCGTTGAAAAGGCAGGGTTTATCTTCCGTTTTCTTTTCCATTATNNAGCCCCTATATATCCCTATGTATATATCCACAATATTACAGCCCTAACAGAACTGGAAATGTATCGCTTCAAGCGGAACTAGCCCCTTTCCTCTTTGAGGCCAAGAAGGCGGAGGTTGAGGTGACTTTGGATCTTGTGCCGCACATGCCCCATGCATTCCAATGGTGCTCAGCCTTCTTACCTGAATCGCGGGAGTCTGATGACCGCATTATTGGCTGGATGCGAGAGAAGCTCCAACACAAGTGCATGTAGATCTTTTGCCGCAGCTTTACCTCCTTGCGGATCTTCAAGTTGCTGTGAGATACCATCACTTTAGCTCACCAGAGCGCTGAGTCCTGCCAATTGGGCTTGACACAGTCCACTGCTTGAAAAAGCAAGCAGCGCCTTCTGTTTCGCGCTACCTGCAAAGAGCAGAAAATCACGCGCACTGCTGGTGAAGTCGAAAACTCCGTTGGTGCGCTGGTGTGCACTGAAGTCAAGATTCGGGCTAGCAGCATATACTAAGAGCAGCGTTTTGAAATTCTGAATGAACAACGACTAAGTCATGAGGTTAGCCCTGTGACACTTCTGTATTTCCGGTCTTTGACTTTTGCCCCCCAGGAGACCTGGAGCTTCGTCGCCAACGACCCGGGTACAGGCCCCTCCCGTGTAGCAGCTTTCTTCTTTTGGCTGAGAGTGGCGCTGACCTTGCAAGTCCACAGTGCTTGTTCTGTTCGCAGAATTCGGAGCCAGATGATGTTGTCCAGAAATTCGAGGAGGCCAGCATGTGCTGAGGCCTCATAAACCATCCAGATCATGGTGCAAACTCTGCAAAACAAGAGTGTCAAAGCTGTTGCTGCGCCACTTTTTGAGTGTGCTGCCATCTCTCAGAAGGAGAAGCAGTCGCTCCTCTCCAGGAAGAGTGATATGCAGGCTTCTGGATGTTCACAGCTTGACCGGCACGTATTGCTTGGAAGTGTGCCTGTTCACAGCCAGGAGATGGCGACTCAGAGTGCTGAGCGAGAAGCAGGTCCACCAGACAATCTTGCATTCCTCCAGTCTTTATTGATGACGCTGGCATCTGGCAGCCTTACGCAACGAGCTCCAAGCCCTTGAGAAGCGAGCGGCGGCGCTTGCAATCAGGCCAGGCCTTCCAGGTTCTCACTGTTGGTAGCGCGATCAAGCCAAAACTTCAGCTCAAGAGGCATTAGGCCTTGCACACAAGACTATCTATCTTGCACGTCTGTGCTGTGCAAAGAGCTTGGACGGAAGAGGCTGGAAACGGCAAAAGCAGAGCTCAGCCCAAACAGCAAGCAGCGCATGGCAGAGGCTCGGTTTCAGGCTGTTCGGCCACTGACCTCTGCGTTCTTGCATCATGTCTCCTTGGTAGGCGGCTTCAATTCGGGCAGCAGCCTCCACGATGCTGACGTGCGAAAAGGACTCGCTGCAAGAGGAGGCAGTGCATGAGCTTGGGATTAGAAGATCAGAGCTGCGGTATCCGCTTGCCTTTGAGATTGCTTCGGCACCCATGTGTAGCTGAGCATGGAGGATTGCTGTCATGCTAAGCCCTGATGACTTGCGGAGGTGCGACTTCTCAAGTCCCAGTCCAACAGCCTGGAAGAGCAGGTGCGCTGTGGTTCGATTAACTTGTGACCTTTTCGGTTTTTGGAATGCTTGGCTGTGGCCTTGCTTGGAGGTGGCGCGGCTGTCCAAGCAGCTCGGCGAGGCGAAGGCCGTGCCGTATGCAGCAAAAGGCGATTTATGCAGTCCACGGCATCCAAGAGTCCAAGAGGCGGCGGCTCAGCGTGGTGACGAGGAAACCTCACAGCTGCGGCGCGAGTTTGATACCCAGATGCCATGAATTTGAAGCATGTTCTGTTGATGTAATGTTGCTGTGAGGCTGCAAGAGCGAAGGGAAGAGCGCGCGGCCTTTGCTGCCCAGCAAGTCGATGGCCTCGGTTGAAGTATTGGCCAGCGCAGTTCATCCTCTGAAACAGGGCGTTGTACACCTGACAGACCTGACATGTCTTGCACGCACACCCTTTCGCCTTCAGCGGGGACGTGCCCGAACGGGATTATACTGTATACTGTACCAATTTGCACACACCATGCACCATGCAGGGCTTGCCACAGAGCACGCCATGCTCTTCACCCCGCAAATTATTCCAGTCAGCGGTCATGAAGTCCAGAGCATATGGCAAGCTCATAATGGGGGATTCTGATTAAATAACCCCCCCCAAAATAAGTACGGACCCAATCAAAAGTCGGAATATTTGCTTTGGGGGGGGCCCAGGCGGCCTGAACCATAAAGCCTGAACCCGATTGCCTGGG